CTAGGCCCGAAACGTCAGCCTTCCTGCTCCTCTGATGCTGCTTGGCCTGCTGTGTTCATCCAGCTCTACACCTTGTTATCTCTGTTGACCCAAACATTAGCCTGCTCACCCTATAATAATGGGTGGAGAGTGTCCTTTGTCATCTATGGCTCCCCCTTGAGGCAATAGTACCCACCTTGTCCCTCCTACCTGCCTGTACTTCAAGATCTATTCCTTTACCTCCCTCTTTAAAAACACTTCCATCCGTTAGTCCCGGCTTACCTCAGCCCAGAATCCATTGGGCCTCCTTGATGCACTGCCCACAGACCCAGCAGCTCCCACTGCAGAGGTCTCATGCTATGCAGATTCAGAATAGCTGGCAGCTCTGGAAGGTGGAGCTTCCTCCCCAGTGTGTGGTGGAAATCGGACCCAACAACACTCCAGCCTGCTTACAGTATGTTGTGACTGGGAGTTGTGTGGGGGCATTTCCCCAATGCATTCCCACTGCCAGAGATGTTTCTCACTAGTGGACAGGGACTTTGAGCGACAGTCCACTGAATAAAAGGGGGCAGCTAACCATCATATCTAAAATCCCAATTTGAGGCAAGTTACGAAGAAGCAAGCTATAAGGCCGACTTAGATAATCAGCTGGGCGTTTACCAGCTAAGATTGGGAGTTCAATTTAATTTTGTTCTCAGAATGTGGATGGTGCTGAGAAGTTTCCATTAATTAGGCACCTCCGAGATGTTGATGGGACACCTCTTCAAACTGTTACAGTCGTTGCCATGATAGAGTGCCACTATCAGTTTGCTCAGGTGGCTGGATGGCTGGTGTGACGTAACGTGGGTTCAATTCCTGTACCCGCTGAGGTTATTGCGAAGGCCCTGTTTCTTTGCCTGAGATATGTCAATCCTCAAGTTAAAAACACCATCAGTGGTCTCTCTCTCTCTCTCTGTCCATCTCTAATGAGAGATCTGTCTGTAATCTTCTGAGACTGTGGCAATTTTCACTTCCAGTGTTCATATTAGCACTAAATAGGAACTGGAGCATATTGATCCAGCAGCAGTGAATGAGCAGTGTTATATTTCTTAGTCAGGTTGGTGCACAGATTGGAAGAGTATCTGGAGGTGATGCTGTTCTCATGAAATTATGGTTTTTATCTTCCTCGATTATGGAGGTCACAGGGAAAGAGAGGCTGCAGAATGATTTCATACCATTGCAATCCTCAGCGTGCTGCGCTATGTCATAATAAATGCCATGAAAGTGAAATTAAGGGTGAACTAAATGTTTCTTTGTCACACATAGAAGCACTTTCTTTCTCATTGAACAATATGTAATTGCAGAAAGTAACTTCCCACGTGTTCCTTCCAGTCCTCTCACTTGTTTTCTTTTCCAATTATTTACCATTTCTGGCCCATGTTCTTTGTACTTAACACTTCAGGTGTAACAAGACACTACAGACAAAACAAAATCACGACTGGGCTTCTATATGTGACATTCTCTCATTCATTGTCACCTGTGACCTTCCACCAGTCAGTGGACTGCATAATTCTTATTTTTACCATTTCATTTTGACAAACACCAAATCTCTTTGTTTCAGAATATTCTGTACCACAAACTATCAGTAAACTGACCCATTTTTCATTTTTCTATATCACTGCTGATATTGTAAAATCTCTATTACTTTGATTCACTCAGAGTAATTATAAATTATAGTTCAGCATTGATTAAGAGTGTAATTTGTGATGATTAAGACTGATTAATCATTGATAATAATTGTTCTGAATTCCATTAATCATTGTTTAGTGCACAAAGAGTAATTGAACTTATTTTCATGACATGCCTCTTTCTATAACCACCAACTCATTAAAATTTGCCATTTGAAGTTCATCTTAAGGTCTTAGAATGAATGACTAACGAGAGCATTTCCAGCATTTTTATCATTACACAATACTGTGTACTAAATGATGAATTAGGCTTCAAAACAAATGGCAATAGAACATTCTAATAAACAAAGAAGTAGAATTTCTGTTATTAAAACTATTTGTTTGTTGCAACTACCAGTTATTCAATCATCATTTAGAGTATAATTAAGCAGAAAATAACCAATTACCAATGTTATCAAGTTAGATAAAATCGTACTTATGTGGAGACTACTGTATCTCCGTGACAATTAATTACATTCAACCACAGCTGGTTCTTACAACATAAAAATATCAATTAGGTTTTACTGTATTAAAATAGTTAACACAAATACAGAAATGTCCCAAAGAAGAGTCATATCAGACTCAAAACATTAATTCTGTTTTTCTCTCCACAGATACCCAACCTGCTGAATTTCCCCAGCACTTTCTGTTTCTATTACAGATAAATGTCAACTGCAGAGGATGGGAGTTAATGTGTGTGAAAAGCAGAGTGTGGGAAATGGGGAGAAAATGTTTTTGAATATGTAATTTCTTTTAGAAGTGGTCATAAGTCACATGGCACCAGGTTATATTCCAACAAGTTTATTTGAAATCACAAGCTTTTGGAGTACTGCTCCTTCATCAGGGAATGAAGCAGCAGCGCTCCAAAAGCTTGTGATTTCAAATAAACCTGTTGGACTATAACCTGGTGTCATGTGACTTCTGACCTTGTCCAACCCAGTCCAACACTGGCACCTCCACATTTTGAACATGGAGGATTGAAGGTTGCTGCCTATGCAGCCTCTGTGATGTTCTTCAGTGATGTCAAAGGTATCAATTTCTACCCCGGGATGGATCATTTAGACTAAATGGCATATTTCTGTTTTGAACAATTTTATAACTCGTTGAAAATTACTGAGCAATAACTACAAGAAGGAATATGTTTCCCAACTACCAATGCTTTTTGAACAGATCAGTCCATAACATTAGCTCTACAATGATTTTCATTCTCATAACTCATCTGTAGCCAAGAAATAGTTTTTAATTTCTTTCTCCCTCTTGTGTTTCCAATACACAGGTAGTTCTGAAATCTGGACCAGGCACTTTCTTTGGCTTAGCTATTTATGGTGATTACATCTTCTGGACAGACTGGATGCAGAGATCTGTAATGCGTTGTGATAAGTACACAGGAGGAGATGTTAAAGTGCTACGTTCGGATACCACACATCAACCTATGGGAATTATGGTTGTATCTAATGATACCAACAACTGTAAGTTGCATTAAATATGCTGACGCTTGGGTGTCTTTTTTTTTCCCCAAATGGTAATTGAATGTGTTTATACTTTCCATAACATTATTTACTTGCTCTTTGTAGTATTGATGGGTTGTTTCAATTTCTTTAAAGTTGATGTTAAGAACCTACTAGAAATCATGCCAGAGGTGGGCATCTCACACTTTGACATATTTAATCAGTATTTACTTAGCGGGGTTAGGACGGAAAGTGGAGTTGAATGCACAATCACATCAGCCATAATCTTATTACATGGAGAAAACAGCCATGAATGCCTCATCCTGCTCCTAACTAGTAGGTTCTTGTAATGACAGTTGATTCCAATTTTGTCCGTACTTCAGAACAGCTTTCCAGAATGTGAACATTTCCATGCACTACTTGCAGTATTTGTGACTTTTTGGGTTTAGTTGATGCAAAAGAAATCTGGAATATGCTTTTATTCATGTTTTACTTGATCAGTGACAATAACACCTTAATTTGTTTTAAAGCACATAACTTAAAACAAGTAACGTCAAAAAAAAAATGTAATCTATCTGAGAAAAAGAACTGAGCAGATTCCCGGTAGAAGATAGTTTTTTGAAACCATAACAATGCAGTTAACAGCTAAAACATTTGTCCGTGATTTTGAGAACTTGTGTTGCTGATTTATATATTTGCAGACTGAAACATACATAAGTTCTATTACTAAAATCAAAGTTCAAATTTTAGACATCTAAAATAAGGAATGAGTAATTGCATATAGTTTGCATAGTTGTTTTGAGCAGGAATTGTACTCTAAAACTGACTACTTATTGGTAAATGTCAAAATCTTAACATCAATATTAATTTCAGCATATCAAAAATGAATGATTATTCCAATTAAATAGCTTGTATATGCACAAAGTAGTTTAGGTAAACTGTTGATATAACTTGGGTGCATGTATGGAAAAGGTTTATGTTAGATTCAAGATTTCATCTCATGTTAGTGGACTTCACAGTTACACCTATTTACCTGTAATTGCAGTCTGTTGCAAAGCCACATTAAAAATGTTTCCAGCATTTTGGGAAGGAACCTGGAAATTTTTAAATATTACCAAAATATAAAGTTCTTTTGAATAATCTCTGGGATTATTGTTATTGATCGGTAGAATCTAGAGGTTTTAATGCTTTATTTTTGGTAAGCTTCTTTAATAGCAAATTGTGAAGGAGCTCTGAATGAGACTTGTTTTGCTTATTAATAACGACATATTTCAATAGTGACAGGAAATCATTCCTTTTAAACTAGGTGAACTGTCTCCATGCAAGATAATGAATGGGGGTTGCCATGACCTTTGCTTGTTGACTGTCGATGGTCAAGTAAATTGTTCTTGTAGAGGAGAACGAATACTGTTAGATGACAACAGATGTGTTCGTAAGTTGAATTTTCCCACACCTATGCCAAAAGATTGAACAATTTTGGCTATTAACAGTCTATTAAGATAATGTAGTATGTCATGAGCATCTTGGTTTCATTTGATTTATTATTGTCACAGTGAAATGTATTGTTTTGTGTGCTATGCGGAGATATCATACCTTACATAAGTATATCAGGGTAATGGAACAGAATGCGGAAGATAGTGTTACAGTGACAGAGAAGGTGCAGAGAAAGATCAACTCTCATCTATGAAAGGTCCATTCATCAATCTGATAACTGCAGGGAAGAAGCTGTTCTTGAATCTGCTGGTATGTGTTTTTAAATTTTTTTTATCTTCTGTCCGATGGAAGAGAGTATATCCAAATTGGGAGGGGTCTTTGATTAGGTTGGCCACTTTCCCGAGGCAGCAGGAAGTGTAGACGGAGTGAATGGATGGAAGCCTGGTTTTCTTGATGGACTGGGCTGTGTTCGCAATTCCCTTATGGTTCTTGGTAAGCTAGCTAACATTCAAGTTGGATCTTTGTATGGTGCATCTATAAAAATTGGTAAGAGACATTGTGGATATGCCAAATTTCTTTAGCCTTCTGAGGCTTTCTTGACATTCTTAGGCATATTTTTGGTTCTGTTGGTTTTGTTTGAACTTAACATGTTGAAGATGTTATGGAGTAGGTGTATGGGGATGTTGATTTTATCTCAAAACTGTGGTTAGTAAACTAAAGATTTTTCTGCTTCAACTTCTAATTTACCTCTTACAATTCTGCCTGATTCGGTTACTTCTAAAGATCAAATAGTTTTAATTTCATACATCTGGTGCCGTACTATTATCAATGAGGGCCCAGATCTTGTGCTAAATCGGTGTACAAAGACTTAAAACATTCAAGAGGTCACCAGCTGTCAGCTCCCATGGGCTGAAAGAATATACTTGCATGAAATTACTCTGGGGAAATACAATGGAATGGCATAGAGTAACATTTTTTGTCACATGCACTCAATGAGTGCAGTTAAAAGTTTGCAATGTCACCTCTCAGTGTCACCTTAGGTACTGAGTACCGAGGTATAGATGCTTTAGATGTTGTTACAGAATGAAAAAGAAGGTAAGCATGGGAATAGAGATTAAAAAGGCCAGGATGATAATAAAAATGACTACAAAGTACTCAAGTTTTAGAAGCTCTACTCCTTTTCTAACATGAGTCTGTGCCCGCCGGGCTTCAGAACACGAGGCAATGTTACCTCTATACGTTGGCCTCCATCCAGGACTCGCTTTGCTGCCGCTCTGGAACCTGACCCGTGCTTGGTCTGCTCCCGCTTTGGGACTTGGCCTGTGCACTCTGCTCCACGCTCCGGCACTCGGCCTGTGCACTCTGCTCCAAGCTCCGGCACTCGGCCTGTGCACTCTGCTCCCCACTCCGGCACTCGGCCTGTGCACTCTGCTCCCCGCTCCGGCACTCAGCCTGTGCACTCTGCTCCCCGCTCCAGCACTCGGCCTGTGCACTCTGCTCCCCACTCTGGCACTCAGCCTGTGCACTCTGCTCCCCGCTCCGGTACTCGGCCTGTGCGCGTTCTGCTCCCCGCTCCGGGACACAGACTGCGCTCACTCTGTTCATTGTATGTGATTACATACAAATATATAAAAATTTCGAAGCTTTTATCACACAGTATGGTTTCTCGGCTGTTATAACAAACAAAAACAGAAGTTGCTGGAAAAGCTCAGCAGGTCTGGCAGCATTTGTGAAGAAAAAATCAGTGTTAACGTTTCGGGTCTGGTTGGTATGTTCCACATGTTAGCACTTTACATTCTTGAAACGCAGAACTTAACAACAGAAAGGGGAGCAGATCCAATCTCATATGTAGAAGCTAATTTAAAGTCAATGTTTGAAATGAAGTCTTAGCTTAAGGATTTTTAGTGGGTGAGTTTGCCAAGCTGAACAAGGTTATCTAGATAAGGAAACAAGGAAGAGGTGGAAACTACCTGATTCAATCCGGGACTACAGCTACCTATTTTCAAAGTCCAAGTATGTAAAAAATTACAAAATATAGAAACCATTTACTCTTGGTCTTTTTGCAAGCAAAGGAATATTTTGTACCAATATGATTTGCTCTTAAAAACAAATGTTGACATTTGTTTCAGCCGCAAACTCATCTTGCAACATTCACACTGAATTTGAATGTGGGAACAAAGACTGTATTGGATACCATTTGACATGCGATGGAATTGTTCACTGCAAAGATAAATCCGATGAAAAGCAATCATATTGTGGTAAGTAATCTGTTCTGAAATAACAAGGTGTAGAGCTGGATGAACACAGCAGGCCAAGCAGCATCAGAGGAGCAGGAAAGCTGATGTTTCGGGCCTAGACCCTTCTTCAGAAAATCTGTTCTATTTGGTAGAAAATGTGTGCAAGTAGATGTTGGCTTTTACACTCTCAAAATTCTATCAGTAACCAAGACAAATAATCACTGGAGGCTAGATTTTCAGAAGTGACTTTTCTGCAATCTATGACATGTTTGTAAATCATAAAATCACCCCTCTCTTGTCTTGGTCCCATGTACTGAATGCTATCAAAGTTAGCCTCTGTTGTCATTTATCAAACCTAGCATCTCAAATAAGAGCTTATTCCTTTATATTGTAACTAAACTCGCATACAAATATTGGAACATGGGGTATGAATTGAAGGTGTGACATGGTCTAATAATATGGTTATAATAAAAAAAACACTCCATATTCATTATAGACAACATGTAATTGATAAATTATTGCCTTGATAAGGAGTTGCCAGTGTTCGACTGGAGTGGACAAGATCAGAAGTCACACGTCACCAGGTTATCGTCCAACAAGTTTATTTGAAATCACAAGCTTTTGGAGCGCTGCTGCTTCATTCCCTGATGAAGGAGCAGTACTCCAAAAGCTTGTGATTTCAAATAAACATGTTGGACTATAACCTGGTGTTGTGTGACTTCTGATCTTAAATTATTACACCATTAGTAAGAAAATAAAAGTATAATTAATTAATTTTCCCATGCATTTTGTACGTGAAGACCATTTATACAATACTCTGCAAAAAATATTTCATTTCTGTCAAAATGGGAGGCCCAACGTTTCTACAACTGACATTTTTATTTACAACTTGTCTTCAAATGACACCTTTCCCAAAGTTATGATATCCCAAAGCATTTTCCAGGCAATGTGGTTGTTTTTGAAGCGCATTCAATGTTGTAATATGAGATACAGAAGCCAATTTGTTCATAACACATGGGTTATGTAAACAGAAAAGTGCTCATGATTATATAATTTGTTTTAGTAATGTGGTTGAGGGATAAATACTGGGCAGGATACAGTGGAGAAATTCCAGCCTTTTTTCATGACCGTGCCACAGAATGTTTCTCATTTCCTTGAAAAGGCAAACAGAGCCTCCATCTAGTATTTTAAAATGCCACCTCTGACCAATGAGTGTTCCTTCTTACTGCATTGGGCTGTCACCCTACTTTGTATCTGGATTAACATGTGATAGACACATCGCACAGGTAATCCAGTGGGCTATCATATTGCACTAGACAATGGAGGACAGCCATTGGAGAAGGAGAATATGTTGCTTACGTCAAAGTCTACAATGAGATTGAGGATTGAGAATCACAATTGTGAAATTAGAGAGGGATAATGCAACAAAGTCACTGCCACAAGGATGTCATTATTGACTTTGAATAGTGCTACTTCATTACTATAACAGAGGCAGAAGTCTCATTGGAAAGGTTAAAATGTCAAGTTTGCAGATTTAAAAGGTGACAACACATTCAGGGACTTTATAGAAGGAAGGCAAGTATGAGATGTGGAGATGTATAGCAAGGGCAAACAGGCCAGCACTGCGGGTAATGACAGCTGCAAAGGGAAAGTACCTCAGAAGAAGAACCATTCTTTCATCAGTGAAAGAGTGGTCAGCAAATTAGTGGAAATGAAATTAAAACAGGATTAATTGAAGAGAAGAGTAAGAAAGAAACTGCAGAAAGATACCAACATTAGTTGCTTTATTCAAATTTATTGCTTCAAAGCGTTATAATAGCAGAAAGAATGGATTATCAAATTTTTATTTCTTTCATCTGATTGTTATACCTGAAACCTTTCATGGATGAAAATAACTTTTATAAAGAAAGAAACATAACCTGCTTCCATTGCTATCATTGTTGATCTATAGATTGGGTATGTATTGTGAAACTTATTAGGAATAAATGCAGCTATCTGCGCTGAAGTGACCATTCTTTTTCCCAAAGACATCAAAACTGAATAAGCTTCAATAAGTTTGTATTTCCTCTTTAATTCATGTGTATGATAATTTCACATACTGGGAGATGAAATGTTACCCTATATTGGAAAGACAATGGAGCTAGACTGCCGAATATGCACTCAACTATATTTTAACAGTTGCTTTTGAGCAGCAAAGTCGAGGGAAAATTAATTTGGAGTCAAAACAGGAGCTAAAACTTTCTCTTCCTGCCTGTTTCTCTAAGCATCTTGGAATGCATTGACTGATGAAAAGGCAACTTGGTAATACCATCAATTCCCAAGGATTCAAAGTTATCTGCAGTCTCTTCTGGCTGTGGATACATGTCAACAATTAAAGAACTATTTACACAGGTCTAAAATCTAACACGCTGCAGGTCCTAAGCGCTTTTAACTGCATGTCCTTTCTGTTTCTCCCTGTCCAGAGCAGACAGTATCCCGTTTAAACTTATTACCTGTGCTTGTGTGTATGTGTGTGTGTGTGTGTGTATGTTTGATGTTGCATTTTTGTTATTTTTTTCCACATCATTAGTAAGTAATAAAATTCCTCTTTCTTTCACTCAAGAAGGCCTTGGTAATTGGCTGCTTCATTTTCCGCTGAACATTTTTTAATTGAAATGTGACTAAAGGAGTGATTGTTAAAAACTGGTGAGCCAGCTCCCCTTCTCACCTCATTATAACAAAAGGCAATGTACTCTTTGCTGATGAATGTTCACTCAGGTAAACAAATGCAGCTGCTTCAGTTTCAGCTTTAAAAATGTTATTTCAGTAGTCAAGAATGGAAGAAATAGGGCATCAAAGTGTTTGCATCAGTTTCAAACATGAATGTTTTAACATTTCCTGAAGATTAATTGCAATATTATGAGCGAATCTCATCAAATGCAAATAAATAAGCAAATGCAAATAAATAAGCAAATGCAAATTGTCTGAAATGTCAGACATCTAAGCACTTTTGTGCCTGAAGCAACGCAATCACTCCTGCCATACTATTGCCCATCAGTGTAGCTGCAGATAAAAATTAACATGAGATGATTTCATTTACACATAGATTAAATAAACTGCCTATCTCCTGATGCATTTTACAACCAAGACAAACCACATGTTTTACAGCTTCAAACAAAAAACAACCTTGATAGCAGACTTTAATGTTATATACCTACATGACAAGGTGACATAAATTTGATATCACACAATGTTAGTTGTTCAGGTGAACAATAGGTTCCACATGGAAACAGCAGTGGCTATCATCTTTCAAGCTAGAATTATTTATTGATGTAAAACATTTTAGCTCAGCATCAACAATTTAGTTGAACATCAACAATGTTAGAAACACCCAAAGGAAGACCATACTAAAATGCATCGTATTTTTTTTAAAAAGCGTTCAGAAAATGATTTGACCTTACAGGATTGGCAAAAAAGATTCATGAGTTGTAAAGGCTTATGAAAGCTGGAATTCAATTCCCAAAAGTCAATAGGACATTAATAAGTTATATTGCCTCCAAAAGAAATTGTAAAATCTCTTTAGCCACTCTTATCCCTGACCTGGGCTGTGTGTGAAGAAGTCATCTGAGTGCTGCAACACCAACTCCCTATTGCCTCACACTTCGCCTTTTCCTGGTCACCAAGCATCAAAGCATCGAAATATATGCATTGCAAAAGAAAACATAAAACAAAATGATCCAAATGAAAATGATAAATCACATAATTTTATGTTGCCTACATAATTTAATGAATTATTCATGCATTTTTGCATGTCATACTTGTGTCTTTGCTTGGTAATTTGCTTCAATGTAGTGCTGCCCCAGTGGTTGAACGCTGCTGACTTTCAGTGAAGGGGTCTGCAGCTGGCACTGGAGGACAATGTCAAACAGCTCTGAGCCTTAGATATTGGAATGCATTATTAGCATGTATCTCAGCAGTGTGTGCTGGCTGGTTGGAAGTCAAGAGTAAGGGTGTGGTGAAGTAACAGTAGTGGGAGAACAGATGCTGTCTTTTTCAGAGAGAACAGTAGGTCTGCACTCTATAGAGTTAGTGCTGCTCCATTGTGGTGGTGCTTCAGCAATCCTAGTAATCTTTTGGAGGACAATTTGCTAGGCTGCCCTGAAAATCATTTTGCACACTGCAATTCACAGCCACAGTGACAACATTTTGAGCTTGCATAGTGGCAAGATTACCTTACATAACTTCAGTCTGAGCTTCTACTTCAGCCCCACATTTAGGTTGGAAACTGCTTATGTTGTATTTGTACAACTTGAAGTTTAATTTGGCATTTTGTGTGTTAGGAAGAGGGAGACATTGTTTTAGTTTTATTTTAAAATTGTTCTTGTGGGCTTTGCACTGAGAAGTCTAGAGGCCTTTTTTTTACTTGCATTTTGATAAGGTTTTACAAGCATTGAAATGAAGAGATTGGTGTTTGTAGTTTGCAGCATTAAAGAGATAGGAAAAAAATTCTGAGCTGTTGTCTCATGACAGGGATCCACATAGACATGAAACAATCCAAAAGAGTATCAGCCAGTCTGTATATGCTGGACAATGGAGGTCAAAATGTTAAACTCTCCAGTAAGAAACCTGGTAAAACTGCTGGAAATTGAGTTTAGGTACACTTTTTTTTTTGCTCTGGAATTAAAGTAGCAGTGAGCTTAGTTCATAGAATCCCAATAGTATGGACGCAGGCCATTCAGCCCATCCAGTCCAACTGACCTCCAAACAGCAGCCAACCTTCCCTATCTTTGGACAGTGGGAGGAAACCAGAACATCCAGAGGAAACCCATGCAAACATGGGCAGAATGTGCAACCTCTACACAGTCACCCATGGGTAGAATCAAACTCGGGTTCCTGGCACTGTGAGGCAGCAGTGCTAACCACTGAGCCACTGTGCTACTTCATTTTGGGTTTGTTTTGCACGTCTCAGTGAAAGATGTCAGCTGAAAGATATAAGTGTTCGGTGAATGCACAGAACTTGAACAGAAGTAAACTAGTTGTAATTGTGCCAGTCTGAGCCTTGTGTGGAAATAGCAGTAACTTTTTGTTGGATTGGGTGTTTGTAAGCACATTACTTGGGTAAAAGCATAGTCTGTGTTTTAATCCTTTTCTGGTGTTTGTGATGAACTCTTTCCAATCTTGTTGGCTAGTAATAATATCGTTTAGATGTAAATGATAATTCCTTGTGGATACGTTCAGTAACTGAGCCCCATAGTTAAAAATAAACTAAGTTTATGGTCTATCAAGCCAGGTTCCATTCTGAAACCTAACTTACCCAGGATTATCATCAGCTCAGATCACAATACAGTAGAAACTGAGCTTGCTATACATATGTTGCATCATAATTGAGTTCACGAGTACAATGATGGTGTTGGCCATTATTCTTATGCCTGAAATAATAAGCTTCAAAGTTTAAGCAACACCCTGAGTCTTGTGTACTTGTCTCCTCAACACTTCTTGACAAAGACGATATGCATTCTGGTATACTTCTTGATGAACCAAGCCTTGTACATCCCCACAAGCCCTCTTTGGTACCCTGTATCATGGAAGTGCTTTTATGAGGCCTTAGAGATCCTAGTAATGTCCTGCTCCCTGTTTTCCATCAGGGTCTGGACACAAAAGTATATCTGCTCCCATCAGCTTAGCTCCTGCTGCCTTGCATTATACACTAATAAATTGCATTAATACACTTTGCTGTTTCGTTCAGAACAATTTATTTTATTCTTATGTGAGTGGTGAGCATTATTGGCAATTTGTGCTGATCTCTAATTGTCCATGAGAAGATGGTGGTGAGCTGCAGGACGGCTGGAAAGGAAGTTCCAGAATTTAAATCTCATGACAATAAAAGAACAGTGATACAATTACAACTTACGGTGGTGTTTTACTTGGGAAGAAACTTGCAGATGGCAGTATTCTCATGTGATAATAGGCCTGAGAATGGGCAAAAATGGGTTGGCTGTGCTAAAAGCAACCTATGTGAGAACAGAGACAACAAGGTGTAGAGCTGGATGAACACAGCAGGTCAAGCAGCATCAGAGGAGCAGGAAAGCTGACGTTTCAGGCCGAGACCCTTCTTCAGAAATGCATTTCTGAAGTGGTCGGGATGGAGCAGGAGTGGGCCAGGGTGTCCCGAATGGAACAGTACCTGTGGAATGCTGGTTACGGCATCCCATTGGTGGCTCACAATCCTTTGGATGTGGAGGCTGATGGGATGGTAACTGAGGACTGGGGGACCCTATCATTTTTTTTGGGAGGGAAGAGAAGAGGTGAGGACAGAAGTGTGGGAAATGGTTTGCACATGGCTAAGAGTCCTGTCAACCATGGTAGTAGAATCTTTGGTTGAGGAAGACTGTAGGAATTGGTGCATTTATAATGGATATCCATAGACAGCCTATCCCGGAAATGGAAGCAGAGATGTCGACGAAGGGAAGGGAGGAGTCAGAAATAATCCAGGTAAAGGTGAGAACAGAGTGGAAATTGGAAGCAAAATTAATAATTTTTTCCAGTTCAGAACAAGAAAGGGAAGCAGCAAATGGTGACATCATTGATGTACTTGACAAGGAATGTTCCACGTACCCCAAAAAGAGACAGTCATAACTGGGGACCATACAGCAACCCATGGCCAACTTCAACCTGAAGAAAGTGTGAGGAGTTAAAGGAGAGGTTGTCCAAGGTGAGGACGAGCTCAGCCAAACAGTGGAAGCTGGTGGTGCCTAGGAACGGATCAGTCCTTTTTTCTAGGAAAACGTGGAGAGCCCTGAGACCACCTGGTTGATGATGGATGTATAAAGGGATTGCATGTCCATAGTAAAGATGAGGCAGCTAGGGCCCGCAAACTGAAAATTCTGAAACTGACGTAAAGCATCAGAAGAATTGTGGATATAGCTGGAGAGGGTTTGAACAAGGGGAGAACAGAATCATGTCAAAGTAGGAAGAGATATGATCTGTGGGGCAGCACCAGGCAGAACCAATGGGTCTGCCCAGTTTGCAGATTTTGGGGTGGAGAAGGTAGAAGTGGGGTTGGGAGGGCTACGATCTGGGAGGATTTCAGGAGAAGATCCCCAGACGAGATGAGGTTGATGATAGTCGTGGACACAATCACTTGATGCTCAATGGTGGGGTCATGGTCCAAGGGGAGATGGGAGCTGCTCAGCCTCCGCAATGTAGAGGTGAGTACGCCAGACAACAACAGCACCACCCTTGTCAGAAGGCTTGATGACAAAGTCAGGATTGGGTCTGAGAATCCAGTCAGTTCAGAGGGAGCTAGTCTTGAATGAGTGAAGGGGTGCAGAGAAATTAGTGGTGAACAGATAGATGGAGATGGAGTCCGGAGAGAGAGATATGACAGCGGTAGGTAAACAGGAGATTGTAGATGGCCTGCCAGGACAGAACAGAAGCTTCATAAGTGATAAAGAGAGCTGAGGGTTGCAGAGAATGGGTATTCTGTACTGAAAGTAAACCAAGTAATGTGGTTAAAAAAAACCTGAAAGTGGGTGGTTTTACTGGTGTCTTGTTTAACATTTCCCTTTCAACCACTACTAAAAGCAAATTAACTGATCATTTATCTCACTGTTTTTTTTCTAAAATCCTCTTTGTATACTATGGCTCTTTCAATTGCTGATATCACAACAGTAATTACATCTCCAAAGCAATTTATTGGCTTGCAGGACTCAGATGTTTATTAATGCGCTCTGTGAATCAAGTCTTTTATTTCTCTATCCACCAAAATTAAAATGTTATCACCTTGTTAAAGCTATTAATTGGAAATCAATATTATGATTTCCCAACTGCAATTTTGTAACAGTTATTGCCTGCATGACACCAGGCTGTTGTAAAATTGCTTCCAGTTAAGGTCTTTCAGTAATTCTGTTGGTTAATTCAGAAAGTAATTGAGTTTTAATTGCCAGGAACATCCTCAAACTCGACTGAATAACATAATCTCTGTCAAAACATGAAAGGGATGCCGATTAGTATCAGTGCTCTTGCAGGAACATTAACCTTATTTATGAATGGTATACGGCTACCAGGATGAAAACATATTTGAATGTCCTACTTAAATAGATTCATGATATACGAAATCCACTTGAAGAACTGTATTAACATGCAATAATGCAATTTTTTGGGTGGGGAGAGAGAAAAATATTGGAACTAATACACTTTATTAACTTACCCCATGATTTCTACTCATGAAAGGAAAGCCACTGTTAGTGGCTAAAAAGAGATTAACCAGGGAGATTTACCAGCAGTCATCAATTACAACTAACTTGAAGGCTTATCAAAGTGAGTGATTTGATTAAGTCAGATTTTCAGCCATAACACAGACCAGAAACAAAAGGGTGAAGAGGTTAAGATTTACATAGAAGAGGAGAAAGATCCAAATTCATTGGAAACATTCTCTCCCCAACCCCACCTAATAATGCAGATAGGGCAGTTGGTTGCACAAGAAAATTGGGAGAGCAGTTTTAAGTCACCGAATTTTGAAATGATCACAGACAAAAAACACAGTTCCCGTTTTCTTGAGGGAAATAATTCAAAGTGTGATTGGTGAAGTTAAAAGAGAAATATTCCAATTAAACAACTGTCTAACTTTGTAATATTGATCACTGGATGCATTGTCTAATTAGACACATTTTCCATCAGTGTGATCAGTTTATCATCTTACTCTTTCACTTTTGCTTCCCTGGTTTCTTTGCATCAGCAAACAGGAGTTGTCGAAAAGGCTTTAAGCATTGCTACAATGGCCGTTGTGTGTCCAATGCAAAGTGGTGTGATGGCGTTGATGATTGTGCTGACAACTCAGATGAAGTATCTTGCAATAGTAAGTATTATGTTGGTGTTGCCAGCCCTATTTGCACTGGATAGTCTTTTGAATAACTTGGTCAGCATTCAATTAGCATAAATTAAATATTTATATTACGACTTTAGTAATTGTTTTTCTGATGGATGTCTTCCTGAGTTATTAGAATCCATTTGCCTTTCCCCAAGAACAGTACCTTCAGATAAGAAAGATATACTTTGCTGCCAATGTTACCTTCCAAAAGTTACACAATTGGATTCCTGACCTCTTGCATCCCATTTTGCTGCATTAAAATCTTATACTAATTCCAAACAGTTTGCAATCCAGTAAGTTATTAGTCAGGATTTTCTGAATGTTGTATGTTCCAACCATTAAAAAATTAAGTAACTTGAGTAACTGAAAGTTAACTTATGAGCATAACTATGCTGTCCTGTCATGTCCTGTCTACGTATTGCAGATTCTACATGCACCACAGCTGAGTTTCGTTGCAGAGATGGTACTTGCATTGTCAAATCAGCACAGTGTAACCAGGTGATAGATTGTAATGATGCTTCTGATGAAACAGATTGTGGTAAGTTGTAAGCTTTTGGCAACATTTCAGTGAGTTCTGCTGTAGGCATTTCACAGAAAGTGTGTGCAAATTCATTGGCCATTAGATGTAACTGGAAGGTATCATTTGCTAAACTACAGTTTTCTCTTCATGAACTTACCTGAATATTAAAAAAAAACTGTCTGAAAGCATCAAGTAGATAATAATAAGTAGTGAAATATAATACGTATTTTATTAATCAAGTGCAAACAACACTTATCTTGATTCATTAATTTCTATCAATTTTACTTCAGGCAACACAGACTGTGCTGGTTTCTATAGAGTTGGAGTCAAGGATACAAATTTTATAAAATGTAATAGCACTTCTCTTTGCATCCTCCCATCATGGATTTGTGATGGTTCCAATGATTGCGGTGACTACACAGATGAATTAAATTGCCAAGGTAAATATCCTTTGTAATTTGATTTAAGATAAAATTAACAGATGAACATTAGGACTTGAAAGTTTATCATCATAAACCCCCCAGCACTGGCAACACTGAGGAAATTATACCAGTAACATTTTTAGCGCTTTATTACTATGCACCATCAGATTCTGATAAATAATTCTGCTGCTCACCACTGATGAGAAATATTGATTTTTTTTTGTTTTACCTGGGGGTAAATTTCACCATCACAGCATGGCCAGTATACTGGCTGAATAGATTTTATATCCAGCCTGATTTTCATTTTTGTTCATTTCAATGTCAGTTAAAATCAGGAACTCCTCTTTACCAATATTTAAACAAAAACATAAAGTGCTAGAAATGCTGAGCAGATAAGGCAACATATGTAGAGAAGAATAATCAGAATGTTGTTTCGATGAACTTTCATAAGAACTAGTTTACAAGTCAAATGGAGGGAATGCAAATGCATATTCTGCATCCCAGATTTCCTGTGTCTATTATTGCATGTTTTGTTTTCAGTCGCCAAGACATTTAGCTCTGTAGTTTCTTTACTAAAGCTTCCTATCTCTCATTCCTCTTTTAAGACTCTGCTTATATTCTATCCTTGCACCTAACCTCCTCATTGTTTATCCCAATTCTTCCTTTCTCGGCCCAGAGTCAATTTTTCTCTGATTTCTCTTTTGTTAAACGCCTTGGGGTATTTTAGCACATTGGAGCACTATAAATATTGGTGGCTAATGTTAATGACAATGTTAACAATCCCTGTGAAGGCAGGGGGTAGGTATGAGCTCCTCCTCCTCATTTCAAATTAGGGTAAGTGAAAAAAAATATAATTATTGGTTCTTAGGAGGTTTACAGCAACACTGAGAAAACCAATGACATGGCCTTTGTAGAATCTTGAAAAATAGTTATAAGCTTGCTGTATGTAAGCTCCAATTTGACAACATGAATTTTAAAATGGGTGCATTATATCTATTTCAATATTGGCTACTTAAACGAAGGGTGGAATTACGCCCTCCTTGGTCTGACGAGAATAATCATGAGCATGATAAGTAAATAGGGCAAAACTAAAAAAATCTGCTTTTAGATGTCAAGAAAAATGTACCCAATTTTGCCCTCTCATTAAAACCCAGCTCGTTCTGTCAACACCGCACTTCCAATTCTCCTCTCTTCCATCAAGAAACTCAACGGAGCAAAAGTTTTACTGACATCACTGAACTGGTACCTGGCAAATTGTATTGTCAGCATGCATTGCAATTTGTGGAATACTTGTGCTGTCCTCTCGATTCCCTTCACATGGAACTGCTTCTTCTGCATGAGGTGGTGCCTCCTTGGTCAATTGGCATACTCTTCCTGGACACTTCATTCACACAACTTGATATTAACTTTGATCATCACATTTTGTGACTTTCCTTTTAAAAATGTGATTTAGTTTACTGCAATGAAATCCACTTTCACCTGTCAAGTATGTTTGTTACAATTTTTTGGGCATACTACAATGTCTTATACTTGTTAAAACCTGAAAGTTATTGCTGTTGTCTGCCATCAAAGAGAATGACAGCATGCAGCTATTCATATTAATAATGAGCAGCCGGTTATATGAAGAGCCTCAGAGACTATCCTGTAAATGCATTATTAAGAAATGTATGAACATTAAATAGATGTGCTTTGAGAATTGGGGTTGTGAAAATTCTGAAGAAGTGATGTCTTGTTTTAAACATATTATGATTGACATATTTAGAAAATGGGTCCCAGAACAGACTCTTTAGCAAAGCTAATTTTCTTTTTTTTTCATTATGTAGACACAAGCAGCATAGTGGTAGCTTCTATTTATTGCTCATAAAGTTCATATCTTTCTCAGATGTATCTAGCACCAGTCATTTTTCATCAGGTAACAAGATGTTCATAACGTGCGTGGATTTTCAAAATATTTCTCATGTGCAGATAAGTCATTGAAAACAGCATTTATAGAACCAATAGATAACAGAGTAGATTTTTAAAACTGTATGTCTAGAACCATTAGATAACAGATTAGATTTTGAACAGTGTGAAACTGAATTGATAGGCCCCAGGAATTTATGGAAATTGGTTCTTGAGCTTCATACTTAGCATGGACTGCAAGTGTGATCACCTGCATTACCAAGCCTAATGAGTCATTGTGGGGTTTGGAGGAAAGTGTAACTTGTTATGATTTCAGCTAATGTCATTATTATCCAAGTCAGGTCCCAGACTCAAACCTGGCTTGGCAGATCCTATTTTGTTTATATTTTGATTTTAACAAGGTGGTCTTTCACTAAAATGTAAAAACACCATACTGCATTTCTGTTTATCAGGAAAAAAAAAGGTTCTTATGCAAAAGAACGGAAAATGAAATAGAATAAACCAAACTTCAGGGGAAGCAATGGCCTAGTGGTATTGTCGCTGGACTATTAATCCATGAACTCAACTAATGTTCTGGGGATCTGCCTGGATTCGAATCCTGCCAGGACAGATGGTGGAATTTGAATTCAATAAGAAAAATCTGGAATTAAGAATCTACTAATGAATTTGAAACCATTGTTAGAAAAACTCAACTGATTCACCAATGTCCTTCAGGGAAGGGAATCTGCCATCCTCACTTGGTCTGGCCTAGATGTAACTCCAGACCCACAGCAATGTGGTTCACAGCTGCTGTTTGAAATGCCCTAACAAACCATTCAGTTGTATCAATTGCTGCAAAGCCTCAACAAAGGAATGAAACCAGACAGACCACTGGCATTAACCTAGGCACCAAAAAAGACAACAGCAGAAACATTCCTGTCAACCCTGCAAAGTTGTCCTTACTAATGTTTGGGAGTTAGTGTCAAAATTGAGAGAGCTGTCCCACAGACATTGTCACACTCATAGAATCATACGTTGCAGACAGTGACCCACACACCACCAATACCATACCTGGTTATATCATAGTCCACTGGCAGGGCAGACCCAGGCAGAGGTGGCAGCACAGTGGTATGCATGCAGGAGGGGGTTGCCCTGGGAATTCTCAACATTGGCACTGGACCCCATGAAATCTCATGGTTACAGATTAAACATGGATAATGAAATCTCCTGCTGATTACCACGTACCATCCTCTCTCAGCTGATGAATAGGTATTCCTCCATGTTGAACAACACTTGGAGGAAGCACTGAGGGCACAAAATGTACCCGGATGGGGGATTTCAATATCTACCATCAAGAGTGGCTCAGCAGCAGCACTACTTAAAAGCTGGTCAGGTCCTAAATGACATAGCTGCTAGACTGGATGTGCAGTAGGCAGTGAGTGAATCAACAAGAGGGAAAATATATATTTGACCTGATCTTTACCAATCTGCCAGCTGCTGATGCATCTGTCCAAGACAATATCGACAAGAGCAACCACCACATAGTCCTCGTGGAGATGAATTCTCTTCTTCACATGGAGAATACCTTCCATTATGTAGTGTGGTACCATTGTCATGCTAAATGGAACTGACTTCTAACCAATCTAGCAACTTAAGGGCAGCACGGTGGCTCTGTGGTTAGCACTGCTGCCTCACAGTGCCAGGGACCCGGCTTCGATTCCACCCTCGGGCGACTGTCTGTGTGGAGTTTGCACATTCTCCCTGTGTCTGCATGGGTTTCGTCCGGGTGCTCCGGTTTCCTCCCACAGTCCAAAGATGTGCAGATTAGATGCATTGGCCATGCTAAATTGCCTGTAGTGTTGAGGGATGTATAGATTAGGTGGGGAATAGGTCTGGGTGGAATGCTCTGATGGCCAGTGTGGACTTGTTGGGCTGAAGGGCCTGTTTCCACACTGTAGGGATTCTATGATTCTATTCGATTCTATGATTAAGACTGGGCACCCAAGAGGTTCTGTGGGTCATTAACACTAGCAGAATTGTACTCCAGCACAATCTGAAACCTCATGGCCTCAGATACTAAAGTAGTCGATGTTCAAATGCAACAAGATCTGGACAATGTCCAGGTTTGGGCTGACAAGTGGCAAGTAACATTCATGCCACACAAATGCCAGGCCATGACATTTTCTAATAAGAGACAATATAACCACTCCCTTTGACATTCAATGGTGTTACCATCACAGAATCCTCCATTATCAATATTCTGGGGGTTACCATTCAGCAGAAACTCAAGTGGACTTGTCATACAAATACAATGGTTACAATAGCAGAGACTAGGAATACTGCAGTGAGCAACTCACCTCCTGACTCCCCAAAGCCTGTATACCATCTACAAGGCACAAGTTAAGGGATGTGATAGCCCAGTGATATTGTCACTAGATTATTAATCTGGAGACCCATCTAATATTCTGGGGACCTAGGTTCCAATACACCATGGCAGATGACGGAATTTGAAGTCATTAAAAATCTGGAATTAAGAATCTAAAGATGACCATGAAACCATTGCCAATTGTCAGGAAAAATCCATCTGGTTCATTAATGTCCTTTAGGGAAGGAAACTGCCATCCTTACTTGGCTCGGCCTGCATGTGACTTCAACCCTACAGCTGTGTGGTTGATTCTCAACTGCCCTCTGGACAATCAGAGATGGGCAATAATTGCTGGTCTGCAGTGATGCCCACATCCCATGCATGAATAAAAACAATGTTAGGAATGTGATGGAATACTCCTCGCTTGCCCAGACAGATGCAGTGCCAACAACACTCAAGAAGATTGACAAAATCTAGAACAAAGCAGAACGCTTGTTTGACATCATAAGCATCCATTCCTTCCATTATCAATGCAGTCACAGCAGTGTGTGTTATCTACAAAATGCACAGCAGAAATTCAGCAAAGATCCTTCAACACACCTCCCAAACCGATGATCATTCCATCTCGAAGGATCAGGACTGTAGATACATGGGAGCACCACTATTTGCAAGTTCCCCTCCAATTCCCACCATTTTGACTTGGAAACAGATCATTGTTCTTTCACTGTCACTGGGTCAAAATCCTGGAATTCCTTCTCTGAAGACATTACAGGTCTTCTTACAGCAGGTGGATTGCAGTGGTTCAAGAAGGCAGGTTACCACCAGCTTCTTAAGGGCAACTAGGAATAGGCATTAAATGCTGGACAGCCAGTGATACCCACATCCCACAAGTGAATAACAAAAACATTCATATATAAATGTTTCATGACTTAAAAGACATGGTAAATTGCAATTCCATTTATCCCAACAGCAGTCACTGACAATACTCAATCACCAGTAAGAATTCCATTCTCAATCACAAGGATTTAACTGTGACTTCAATTTTTAATTTGGAGAATCTGATCACCTCTTCCTTGAACCTTCATACAACTGAGCTTAGATTTTCTCAGCTTCAAATAACTCCTTCAAGATTTTAACTAAACACTTCTGGCCTGCAACTTTAAAGTTAAAATCTTTACACTGAGGTATCCTATTTCTTAATAGCTCTAAAGCTTCTTTCGGAGCAACTCTTTTTACACATCCAACTTCTGTCAAGTTTTCTACAAAACTGCCAAACTGAAAGCTAAGCAAAAATAAAAGAAAAAGTCCATTCTGGAAATTTTTACATGAAGCCTCATGCACCACTGTTTACTTAGTTTACTCAAAAACAAAACACTACCAATGAAAACTAAAACCCATTACTTTCTAGGAAGCTTCAATCTCATACTGTGTTTTAAATTAAACCACTGTGGCACCAGAAATACTTACAAGTTAATTCACTAAATCTCTTAATAGGTACATGCCACAAGTTCAGAATCCAAACTCTAAAATGAATGATACTGAAGTACATTTAAATGACACACTTTAAATGACAAATTGCAGCCTCTGTGTTTACAGATGTTTTTCTTACAGACTTTACATTTCAATGATAGCTAGAGATGGCAGATGAGGCTGTGTAAAAAGAAAGTGCAGAACAAACTATAAAATCCTGATCAGGCAAGATCTCATTAATTGTGAAAATAAGTCCATTGTTCGTAGAACAATATTCCTATAAAAAGGACCCCATGAATCTGTCTTATCATGTTATAAAATGATGCTGTACTTTCTCCCTTCAATTCATGGCACAAAGGCACTGCTAGAGCAGGGTGTATATTGACCATTCAGTTAGCCATATTAATCAACCAGTCAATTAAATTGAGTCAGTGTTACATTTTTACAGGTACAGTACAATACTGTTTGCTGTAGTCTGTCTAGCCACAGGAACATGAGTACCATGAAAATTCTGAACCTCTGTGGTGAAAGATCTCTGGCTAAATCATGAACCTATCCTTTTATTTTCTTGGGTGTTAATATTTTATTGTATATTTATTTATGTTTTTTTTAACATGGTTGAGTGCTTTGTGATATCTTTTGTTTTAGTAAGTTGTGGGATTTCTGAAATACTAATTAAATACTTTGTGGTTCATTTTTTTCTTAGCTCACCACAAACTCAAATGCAAAGAACATTACTTTGCATGCCCAAATGGACGATGTATTCCAGCTTTTTGGATATGTGATAAGGAAGAGGATTGTGAAGATGGAGCAGATGAATCCCATTGTGGTATCCACTCTCTCATTTTAGTTACACCTAAAGCTTTGTTAGGTTACAGTTACCGTTCAGTGATGACATTTTTAACAGAGTCAAAAGATCATTTTGGTTCAAGTCAAGCTCTAGAGATTTTGAACACAAAATCTTGGCTGACAACTCACTGTAATACTTGAGGGATCCCTTCCCTGTGAGAGATGCCATCCTTTGGTTGAGACCTTATATTGTCTGTCATTTTTACTAAAAATCAAAAATCCAGTAGCATAACCCAAAAATAGCCAGGGGTTCCTCCGACAGGTCAACACGTATTTCTCAATCTGGATCATTAATGAATTGTCACATTACTATTTGTGGCGTTTGCAGTGCAATACTATTTCCTACTTCAATTTTCTTTTGGTGGCAAAGCCCTATGGGATGGTTTGAGGTCATTTTTTAATTCACTCATGGGAGTGTATGTCACTGTCTGGGTCAGCATTCATTGTCCTAGTTGACCTTGAGAAGGTGGTGGTGAACTGCAACAGTTCATGTGCTGTAGGTAGATCCTCAATGCTGTTGGAGAGGGAATTCCAGGATTTTGAACCAGTGACACCAAAAGAACGGTGATATCTTTTCTGGTTTCATTGTTTTTTAGATTTTCTAATGATAGTTACCACTGAATGGCTTGATAGATCATTTCAGGGGACACATTGTTTAGGCAGAATTCCTTCCCTAAAGAACATTATGACAATGGTAAGGCAATCAATACTGATTTCATGGTTATCATTAGATTTCTCATTCAAAATTCTTTTCTTAAATTCAAATTCCATCACCTTCCATGGCAGGTTTCAAACCCAGGTGCCAGAACATTACTGGGTCTCTGGATGAATAGTCTAGCGATAACACCACTGGGTCTTCATCGTCCCCATGAAAGGCACGATACAAATGCAAGATTCTTTTTTTTTTCTTTCAAATGTCTCAGTAAAACCAGAAGATACATCACAGTTACACGGATATACAGGTTTAAAATAAAGTGTTTGGTTTTCTTGAATTGTTAACTGATTGAGTAGTCTGTAATTTTATTCGTAAAAATTATATTTTTGATCTTTAGAAATAGACTCTTCGGATCAATCGACTCTTAATCATTCATTTTATAATTTTGAACATGTTGCTGTTTCAAGGTCCAACACATTATGTTAAGCTCAGTATTTTTCCTTTACATTTCTTGCTTCAGTGTTAAATTACATATTTAACTTGGTCTCTGATACAAAGGAAAGTTCAGATTTCCTAGATGGACAAAAAACCTTATGGAGAAATATGACATGTAAAAATTATAGCCAAATAGAAAAGACCATCAACAAAAATTTATGGTGCATTCCAAACACTACTGGAGCTATTATTTGCCTTCTGGACAATAGCTTTTAACATTGACAAGGTAGCAAGAAGACAGGGAGTTTTAAGTCTATTAACTAAACACCCAGTTTTAAGAGTTTACAATCTCAGATGTAAATTTTACGACATGAATTACAGTGCTTCAAGATGATAATTCAATGATTATGAAAATAAATCTTGCAATTTTCATTCCTGACAGACCCAGGCTGAATGAAGCATAACTTTTAACAAAATGAGCGCCATTAACCTACTACAATCTAGCAAAGCATTAAATTGATACTAACATTACATTTGCCTTTGTTCACAGATTCCTTCTGTACATGGGATCAGTTTGAATGCCCAAATCACAAATGCATCTCTAACCATTGGGTCTGTGATGGTACGGATGATTGTAGGGATGGTGCTGATGAAGCAGCTTCTCTCTGTGGTAGGTTTTCAGTTTGGAATTGTACAGGTTTCATTATTGTTGTCTGATATCAGCTCATATCTAACAGAAATTTTAACTCTTGTGATCCCAGTTGTTGTTTAACCAGTTTTGAAATGTAACCTGAGCAACATTGTCCAGTTATCTAGTTATTAAAAATATATTTTGCTCATCTCCATGATTCTACTAAATCCTGTAAATATCAAGTACACCAATGATATTGGGAAATCTCACTTTGATTTAAACTCAAGTCCGAAGTTTTCGGTCACTTAGTCTATGTTAAATTACCAGCGACATGTATTCTGGAGTCAACTCCAAATTGTAGTGATAGAACTTTTTGTTCTTTATTTAGTTGGGTGGCGGGGTGGCAATCCACATGTGTGGAGTTGCAAAAGAATATATTCTGAACCAGGGAATTGCATTTGCTTTGTAAACTTAAATTGTTTTAAAATAATTAACATAATCCTGCCATTCATTGGAAAAACATAATATTTCTAATGATGTTTGGAACTATTCTGTAAAAATAGGGTTTAACAAATATATATGTGAGTCTCTGAAGTAAAGTATCTTGTAGCTATGACTTCAGTAATTATGAGCTTGTACTCAGCTAGGAGATTGGAATTTGTACAGCACAGCACATGCTGTCTGCAGCTTTATCAACATACGTGTCTATCGCTAAACATTGTTTAACAGTAACCAAGAACTCTGGCCACAGCTTGTATGAAGATCATGTTACAATACCTCAAATAGGGTTTCAGCTGGGCTGAAGGGAGTGTGCAGTTGGAGGAATTTCAACCAGAAATAGCCCAGACATGTCCCAGAGCTTAGAAAGGGTGAGGATAAAGAAACATTACCCATCACCTTTCCCACCCTTTCAATAAGATCACAGGTGTATGCAGCAGATACCTCGTGTATCCAGATTTCATTTTAAATTTTTGTCCCTCTACTTGTAAGCCACTTGCATTTTAAAAAAAAGTATCTATTGTTCAAGATAGAACTATTTGCTGAATTGGAAAATGGTTTTGAATATGCATGTTGCAAGCATGACAGTCCTAAGTAGATTTCTGTACATCAGGTTCTCTATTTGGGGGAGGTGATGGCCTCATGGTATATTTGCTGGATTGTTAATCCAGAGACCCAGATAACGTTCTGGGGACCCAGGTTTGAATCCCACCATGGCAGATGGTAGAATTTGTCTTCAGTATAAAAGAATCTGAAATTAAGAGCCTAATGATGACCATGAATCCATGGCCGATTGTCAGAAACACACATCTGGTTCACTAACATCTTTTAAGGAAGGAAACTGCCATCCTTGCCTAGTAGCGCCTACATGTGACTCCAGACCCACAGCAATGTGGTTGACTCTTAACTGCCCTCTGGACAATAAGGGATGGGCAATAAATGCTGCCTCGCCAGCGACACCTTCATCTCATGAATGAATTAAAACAAAATCTCTGTCACCAGCTTCTAAGTAGTAGAAGCAGTATGATTGCATTCCAACATTAAGATTTTCATTGTGCAGTCATCCTATTCAGACACAATCAAGGAAAATACATGATTTGAGGATTTGTGCTGTGAATTTGTGATTATGAAGCAGAGAACAATGAATTTTCTCCACCTGTAACTCTAAGTACTCTGTCAGTCGGCCTTGTTAATTGCATTGATTCATTCTGGTTAATTATCAATTGACATTTGTATCCTATCTAATTGTGCAATTGTGGAACTTGAGCTTGAAATAGAATCATAGAATTTCTACAGTGCAGATAAGAGGCCATTTCACCCATCCAGTTTGCACCAACCCTCCAAAGAGTATCCCAACTAGACCCATCCTATCCTCTTAGCCCTGTATTTACCATGGGTAATCCACTTAGCCTACCTATCCCTGAATACTATGGGATAATGTAGCATGGCCAATCGACATAATTGGTACATTTTTGGACTGTGGGAGGAAACCGGAGCACCTGGAGGAAACCCATACAGACACAAGTAGAATGTGTAAACTCCACATAGACAGTCGGCCAAGGTTGGAATCAAACCCCAGTCCCTGGTGTTGTGAGGCAGCAGTGCTAACCACTGTGCTGTCCCTCTTCTTGAGTAATAATGTATATAGAATGATATCACAGCCATTTTATTTTCTCCCAATTTCCTTAAAAAGTAATTTGAAATGGTTCCTGAAGAAATTGTGACATCTTCTTGCATGTTGGATTGAATACAATTTTGGATAAGCAAGTCATCAAGGGACACCATGTTATTGTCTAATGTTACACTAAGACAGGAACTGGGAATTAGGAAGATTGACTTCCCAATAGGAAACAGAGAGTAGGAATAAGTGGGTCTTTTTCAGGCTGACAGGATGCCCTGAATGGTGTCCCAAAGGGGTCAGAGCTGAAGCCTCAACTCTTTACAACTTATATCAATGATTTAGATGATGGGATCAAAAGTATGGTAACTTATTGTTCTGATGACACTAAGATAGGAAAGTGAGTTGTGAAGAGAACATCACTTATCTATGCCCCTTTGTAGGTTATTTAAGTCAGTGGGCAAAGATCTGGCAAATAGAGTACAGCGTGAAAAAGTATGAAATTGTCTACTTTGGCAGAAAAGAAAATAAAGATAACATATTATCTAAGTAGTGAGAAATTGTAGAGGCCTGAGGAACTTGAAGATAGGTGAGTCCCCCAGGCCTGATGGGATTTATCCAAGGATTCTATGGAAAGGGAGGGAAGAGATCGCAGGGCCTTTGGCAATGATCTTTTCGTCCTTACTGTCCACGGGTATAGTGCCAGAAGATTAGAGGGTGGCAAACGTCATTCTCTTGTTCAAAAAAGGGCATAGGGATAACCCCGGAAATTACAGGCCAGTTAGTCTTACTTCAGTGGTTGGCAAATTATTGGAAAGGGCTCTGAGAGATAGCATTTATGATCACTTGGATAGGCACAGTTTGATTCGTGATAGTCAGCATGGATTTGTGAGGGGTAGATCATGCCTCACAAACCTTATTGAATTCTTTGAAGAGGTGACCAAACACATGGATGAAGATAGAGCAGTGGATGTGGTATACATAGATTTAAGTAAGGCATTTGATAAGGTTCCCCATGGTAGGCTCATGCAGAAGGTAAGGAGGCATGGGATAGGGGGAAATGTGGCAGATTGGATTCAGAATTGGCTGACCCTTAGAAGACAAGGGGTGGTATTGGACGGAAAATATTCAACATGGTGCTCAATTACGAGTGGTGTACCACAATGATCTTCTCTGGGTCCTCTTCTATTTGTGATTCTTGTAAATGATTTGGATGTAGGAGTGGAAGGGTGGATTAGTATGTTCGCGGACGATACGAAGGTGGGTCGAGTTGTGGATAGTGTGGAGGGCTGTTCGAGGTTACAAAGGGACATTGATAGGATGCAGAGCTGGGCTGAGAAGTGGCAGATGGAGTTTAACCCTGAAAAATGTGAGGTGATTCATTTTGGAAGGATAAATTTGAAAGCAGAATACAGGGTTAACAGAAAGATTCTTGGCAGTGTGGAGGAGCAGGGGGATCTTGGGGTTCATGTTCACAGTTCCCTGAAAGCTGCCACTCAGGTGGATAGAGATGTTAAGAAGGCGTATGGTGTATTAGCTTTCATTAATAGAGGGATTGAGTTCAAGAGCCATGAAATTATGCTGCAGCTATACAAAATCCTTTTTTGGTCACATCTGGAGTATTGTGTCCAGTTCTGGTCACCTCATTACAGGAAAGATGTGGAAGCGTTGGAAAAGGTGCAGAGGAGATTTACCAGGATGTTGCCTGGAATGGAGGGAAAGGCTTACGAGGAAAGGTTGAGAGAGCTAGGTCTTTTCTCTTTAGAATGATGAAGAATGAGGGGTGACTTGATAGATTGGTATAAAATTGTTCGAGGGGAGTTCATCCACTTCATTAACACCTTCCACCCCAACCTTAAGATCACCTGGACCATCTCCGATACCTCTCTCTCCTTCCTGGACCTCTCTGTTTCCATCTCTGGTAACCACCTGGAAACTGATATCCATTTCAAGCCTACCGACTCCGACAGTTACCTACAATGCTCCTTCTCTCACCCACCTTCCTGCAAAAATGCCATTCCTTATTCCCAAGTCTTTCGCCTCCACCACATCTGCTCCCGAGATGAGGAATTCCACTCGCAGACATCCCAGATGTTCTTGTTTTTCAAGGACCGCAACTTCCCCTCCACAGTGGTCGAATACGCTCTCGACTGCATCTCTCATGTTTCCCGCAACTCATCCCTCACAACCCCTCCTCCCAATAACAACAAAAACAGAATCCCCCTTGTCCTCACGTACTACCCCACCAACCTCCACATCCAACTCATCATCCTCCATCACTTCCGTCACCTGCAATCTGACCCCACTTCCAAGGACATTTTTCCCTCCCCACCCTTATCTGCCTTCCGGAGGGACTACTCTCTCCGTGACTCCCTTGTCCACTCCACATTCCCCACCAGCCCCACCACCCCCTGCACTTTTCCCTGCAACCGCAGGAAGTGCTATACCTGCCCCTACACCCTCCCCCCTCACCCCCATCCTAGGCCCCAAGAAAACCTTCCACATTAAACAGATGTTCACCTGCACATATGCTAATGTGGTATACTGTATCCGCTGTTCCCGATGTGGCCCCCTCTACATCGGGGAAACCAAGCGGAGGCTTGGAGACCGCTTTGTGGAACACTTACGCTCGGTTCGCGACAAACAACTGCACCTCCCAGTCGCGAACCATTTCAACTCCCCCTCCCATTCCTCAGACGACATGTCCATCCTGGGCCTCCTGCAGTGTCACAACGATGCCACCCGAAGGTTGCAGGAACAGCAACTCATATTCCGCTTGGGAACCCTGCAGCCCAATGGTATCAATGTGGATTTCACAAGTTTCAAAATCTCCCCTCCCCCCACCACATCCCAAAACCAGTCCAGCTCGCCCTGCCTCCCTAACCTGTTCTTCCTCCCACCTATCCCCTCCTCCCACCTCAAG